GTCCAACACTGATCTCTGTCCAACTAGTATAAGTCTCCAATTTGAAGAAGAAGAAGAAGAAGAAGAAGAAGAAGAAGAAGAAGAAGAAGAAGAAGAAGAAGCCGAGGAGGAGAGAGAGAGAGAGGGGACTGGCGATGGGAGGGAGGAGAGAAGCCTCCAACTCCCAATACCTCAGGCGGCTATGGCCGCCGGTAACCCAGTCGCCACTGCTGCCGCTCCGCTCGCTGCTGCTGCGCTAATCTGCGTTGCGCTGTTCCTCGCTGCTCCTGCGCTAATCTTAGCGCCAGCGCTGTATCGCGCTGTACCATACCGTACCGGTAGAATGCCGGTAGGTCGATCCTGGACTGAGGCTGGACCGGTTCTATATACCGGTGGGGCAGAGGCCGACCTCAATGCTCCGAGGCCTGGCCGTGCCCTGAACCGTCCAGATGGACGGTTCAGCCCCAACCGGCGGGCGGCAGCCTCAAGAGCGCCGCCAGGCCCAAACGGTAATGTCGTTTGGGCCTGCCCGTCGGGTCTGGTCCAAGGTGAGGCCTTTATGGCCTGTAGTACCCCCAAGGTCGGGCCTTTAGGCCCTGATGTGTCCCTCTAGCCCTAAGTCGGGTCCGGTAGGACCCGTGTGGCGTCGAAGATGTAACACTACGGCAGTCTATCAACTGTAACAAATACATAGGTCGCGGGTTCAACTCTTGGGGTCGACACAGATACTGTACACAGGTAGGGTGGGAACTAGGGATCGAGCCCTGGGATCTGCATTCGCTACTGCTAAAGGTGAAAACCGTTTCACCATTTGCAAACCAACTCAAATCACAGTTGACCGCCCTTTCGAGGCCAGCAAATTTTGAGTCAATGCCCACCATTCGCAGACCAGAAAATCTGGGAAAACAGCCTAAAGAGGTAGATGACACCTGCCAGAAAACCTGTCGGGCTGTCTCGGCCCAAAGTCTTCCAGTCCGGTGCAAGAGGAACGATTTCTGCCCATGCTGTAGCGGACCTCTGGTTGGCCTGTGAGACCAGCCGCTTGGCCTGTTCTCACAGGCCTGTGTTGTATTCGGGGTAGTCCAGTCCAGGCCCGTACCTCTGTCAGTACCAGCCAGTCCAGTCCAGTCCAGTCCAGTCCAGTCCAGTCCAGTCCAGTCAGTCCGCTGGGGTATACCCCAGCTGTTGTTTGGTTTTGCATTGGCACATTTTGGAGTACGTGCGTCGGAGTCCAGCGTGGGAGCTGCACTGTGCCATCTTGCTCCCCCTTCATCCTCCATCTCCATCTCTATCCCAGGCGGAGCACCACACCGGGTGGGTCCGCCACACTGCTATCGGAGCGGGAACGTTCCCCGCTCCCACCCACCACACCACATAGAAGGGAAAACTGCCAAAACCCGACAACGGTCTTTTTGGCTGTTTTTCGGTCTTTTGCAGGGAAAAACAGCAGGAAAACGTGCAGCAGTGAGGGAGCGACACGTGGTGAACAAGAGAGTTGCAATCACGACTGGCTGTTTTTCGGTCTTTTGCAGGGAAAAACAGCGGGAAAACGTGCAACAGCAAGGAAGCCACGTGGCGAAAAAGAGAGCTGTAGTCACGACGTGTGCAGGCAAGCGCCAAGGCCAACGCCGCCGCACACGCACACGCCACGTGCTCACGCCGCCCCGCCCAGCCCCGCCCAGCCCCACCCTTCCCCCCGGATTATTTATTATCATCCGGGATGCTACTGCTACCAGGGTTTGAACCTAGGCAGCTGCTACTCATGCTCGTGCGTAGCCAGCACCTTAACACACTGGCCACAGCCACAGTTTGAGATAATATTGTGGCTCGCTGGTGTTGGTGACACGGTGGCTATTTACCCCCCCCCCCCCCCTCCCCTAGTCGACAGCAGCGGGCAGACAGCTATTTGCCCCCCCCCTCCCCCGCGGTGGGGAGACACCGTGGCTGCTGCTGCCTGTGCCCGCGGGCATCTGCAGTGCCACGTGGCAGTCTGCTGTGGACCGTGAAGACCCCCTGATCAGGGACTGCTCTACAGTGGTGAGGGTCTGCTCACACAACACACCCTGGATTTGCAGTGCTGCTGCTAGGGGCTGATCAAGATCTCAGCCCCCTCCCTCCTCCAGTTGGCTTGCTGCAGTGAAGGCCCAGACCCTCCTGGTCTTGGTATACCTTGTGCCCTTGGAGACACCAAGGGCCAGGTATCATCCCTCTCTCTTCCCTCTCCCTACTAACCCACTTTCTCTACCTTTTCTCTCTCCTCTTACTCACCCCCTCTACTTCTTCCTCTTCTGCCTCACTCACTTCCTTCTAATCACTCTCACCACTCATACCCCCACCATTTCTCCCACCATCCACTATTTTACTCTACTTTATTCATTTATTTTCTTTTCTTTCTCCTCTTTTCTCTTTGCTTCTTGATCCCTCCCCACCTTTCTCATCCCTTTCTCTCCCATTCTCTCACCCTCCTCTCCCCCAACTACAACCCCATCACTTCCCTCATCTCCCCCTTCACTCTTTTTCTCTCTCTCACCTATTTCTCCCCTTTCTCCTTCACTTTTTCATTCCCCTTTCCCCCAACTTCGAAATTTTCTGTTTTTCTTCTTTTTATCTTCCTTTTGATTTATATTTCCTCCTTTTTCCAAAAAAATCGAATTATCTTATTCCCCACCTTCTTTTCTCATTTTCTGATTTATTTCATTTTATTTTTATTTATTTTGAAAATTTGAATTTTTTTGTGGCACCCTTAGATCTGATTAGGAGTTAGTCATTCTTGCTTTCAGCACTCATTTTGACCCCGTGAGGGTAACGAAGTGCTGCCAAAATTTTCTCATTTTACTTAGCCGTTCTTCTTGACGGCACACTTCGACCCCATGGGGGTAACGAAATGTTGCCGAATTTTTTGAAAAATCAGACACTTCATTTCTCTTCACCTCCTCATCTATTTATTTATTTATTTATTTATTTATTTATTTATTTATTTATTTATTTATTTATTTATTTATCTCTTTATTATTTCTTTATTTATTTTTTGAAATTTTTAATTTGCGGCATTTTGAAACTTAGTGTGCTTATCTTGGTCTCTCCTTTCCCTTGGCACATTCTTGACCCCACGAGGGGTAGGGAAATGTTGTCAAAAATTCCAAAAAAATAAATATTATTTCCCTCTTCACATTTTATTTATTTTTTTAAAAATTATTTTTATTATTTATTTATTTATTATTTATTTTTTATTTTTCTCTCGAAATTTCACTATTTATCTATTTTTCCTCCCGCCTCCCCCCCCCATGCTTGCTGTTTTATTTTCTTGATTAGGTCACCGGTACCCTACCCTAACCACTCAAACCCCGGTTAGGGTTTTCTTAGGGTTTTTCTATGGTTTAGGGTTTTCCTAAGCCCCCCAACTCCCCCTTTCCATTCGAGCACCCTGAACCCGAACCACCCCTCCCCCTTTGCGGGCGCCCGCACTCGACTCACTAGCGCCGCCCGTCGCTTTCTACCGCGGACCCCCCCTACGCTCTCCGCTAACGTGGACCTCCTCTGGCCTACTCCAGTCTAACCCGTCACCTCCCCATGGCCGACGGCGTGTCACAAGCCGCGGGCACGGCGACGACCTCGGCATTGGGCTCCATACCCGTGGCGGCGGACCAGGGCCATCATCCCTAGCTGGATCTGCACACCCTCCTCACCTCCCTCCTCGCGCCCATCCAGACGCAAATGGCAACCCTTGCGCCTCTACAGGCGCAGGTGGCGACTTTTGCCACTAGCATGGGACAACTCCATGATGCTGTCCGTCCTTCCTCTCCCAACTCTCTCTCTTCCCCTGACTCCCAGTCCGGGTTCCCCGTCCTTCGACATGGCGGCCACGGCGAAGCTTCCTCCTCCGCCGCCCCCAACCCGACCATCCTGGTGACCGTCCACGCTTCTAGCGTGACGGCCGCCACGAGCCAGACCCTCCCTCACTCTACGGGTGCACCCGCCCAGATTCCGATCACTACGGCCATGGGACCACAACCCGCTGCCGTGGTCTCAACTTTTCCGGGTGCCCCACTTCTCCCTCCCCTTCGCACGATCGCTGCACCATCTGGCTCTCCCCCCTATAGGATGCCCCGCGCCGTTGGTGCATCTACTTCCCTCACTCCTACTACTACTCCTCGCTCGATCTATGTTCGTCGTCTCGAGGACGAGCTTGCCCAGATCCGGGCCGACCTCGCCCTCTTATGCCTTCAGCCACCTCTACCATCACAGGTGGCCGCGCCTTCGGGCGCACCCCCTACTTCTTCTACCCTTCCTTCCATGTCAGCTCACTTCCCTCACCCTGCACCCGCTCCACCCCCATCCTACCTTCTTCTTATTCCCTCGGTTGTTGCAACCTCTTCTACCGCAGCTCCCTCGCAGCCTGCCCCTGTTGCCCCCACCGCTCCCCCATGTGGCCCGACTTACAATCAGTTGCGCCCCTTTCTCCAAGACCTGCACCAACCTACTTAGTCGTAATGCAGGCCTCTGCTCCTCGGTCTCCTCGCCGCCAGACCGGTGGCGCACCACTCGTCCGCTTGACGGACATTGCCTTGTATGATGGTACAGGGATACGTGTGTCTGAGTGGCTACAGTCTGCCACCCGCACGCTCCAGCTCATGGGTGCCCCACCCGACACGTGGGTGACTCACCTCTCCACGTGCCTGTGTGGCGGTCCTTTCGACGCCTGGGAGGATTTCTACACCCACTCCTTTCGTGAGGGTCGGACCCCGACCTTCATGGACTTCCAGGCGTTCCTCGAGGATCGCTTCGGAGCCCGACATGACGTGACTGACACCTTCGAGTGTGTCGTCAGTGCAGGCTGGTCCGACTCTAGTGGCGTTGCCGGCCTAGACTGCCACATCCTGGTCTTTCAGGACGCCCGCCTCATTTGTGATGTGGCATTACTCCCCGAGGCTGCCCTTATCGATCGTTTCTTGGCCAACCTTCCCCTTGAGTACCGCTCTGAGCTATGGTGGTACGAGTTAACATCGGCCCCGCAGGCTTACGAGGCCGCTAGGTCCCATCAGCGGATGCGGGCCCGTGTTCAATCCACTCCCTCCTCCCAGCCTTAGCATACTGGTTACGCCCCCTCCTCCTCTCACGACACTTCCCAACGCCGTTCCCCTTTCCGCGGTCGCCCCCGCTGTTCCACGCAGTAGGGCCGCCACTTCTCGCGCCGCTTCAGCGCACTCGAGTATGGTGAGAAGAACGTTGTTGCCCCACTGTCGCCTAAAGGTGACCACAGTGACGACCTCGACCTCTGCGAGACCGTCCACTACCACCTGGACGACTCTACTCTTGCTGTGGCCGAGCGCCTCCAGCTCGCCCTCTCCACCCTCTCCCGGGCACGCAACTGCTCTAGTCATGCTGGCTCGTCACCCCCCCAGGTCCCTTAGTAGGACCTCCCTCAAGGCTTTGTCCCTCCTCGAGGTGTCTTTTTCGCTGAGGAGCGCGCGACCATTTTGGGTCGGCGTAGGTGTTTGCATTGTCGTCAGGACGGTCATACCTCCTTGCGGTGCCCTTACACCACCGCCCTCGACCGCCACTACGCTGAGCTCTCTCGCAAGCATCGCGCTCAGTCCCCCTCGGTGCCTTGCATTCCCGCGTCGCCTCCTAGCCACGGTGCAATGTATACCTGCGCCCTCCTCGGTAGTCGGCTTCCCGAAATCTCCGTCACGGTTCGCCCCTCTCGCTACTGGAGTTGAGGTATCACAGGACCCGAAAGAGTGTACTCAGCCCTCTGCCGTAGTATCGTCTGCGCCCCCGCAGACCACCATCTTCTCTCCTACCCCTCCGTGACTACTGACGCGTCGAGCCATTGGCTCAGCCCGTTGCAGCGAGCAACTAACGACTCGCGAGGACGTTGTGTCCTCTCTTCTGGACTTGAGCATGCTCCAGGCTCGTCAGGAGCAACTCAACCCTACATATCGCTGCAATGCGTCGCCTTCTCACCATCCTCTGTGACCCTGATCGCACCCTCCCGATCATTCCAGTACGACTGGGGACCTCCACAAGGGTGTACTCAGCACTGTGGGATTCCAGTTCTATGGGCGACTTCATTCACCCACGTGTGGTAAAAGAAACCCGCTTACCCATGACAAGGTCTCCGACTCCCATCTCTGTCACCCTAGGGGATGACAAGACCCAACACTTCTTCGATCAGACGGTCACCGACCTCCTTTTCTTCCTCACTCTCGAGCCGACTGATCGTCCCCCGGCGTCTTGTCGCCACCGCTCCTCTGCACGTTTCGATGTGATGGAGACGAGGTACGATTTCATTCTCGACACTCCGTGGTCTCGTCGGTTCCGAAGCACTGAGGCAGATTGGGGGACCAACACTCTCGTTCTCAAAACGAAGTGTGGACAGAAGTATCGCGTACCTTTTATATGTACCACTGCGACACCACGCCCTAATCCTCCTCCCCCGGAGCCTTCCGTGCCCACACTATCTCCTACTATCGCCGTCACCTCGCCTTAGCAGTTCCCTCACTTCATCTGGCAGGACAACGTCACCTTCTTTACGGTGAACGTTACGGATCTCTTGCACTATGATCCACCCTGTCCCGACGCCGAGCTCATCTCTCTGGAGGCAGATCCTCCTTCTATCTCCATGGCTCCCATCTCTCCTTCCCTCCCTCAGCCGTTCGTCGAGATCACCCTGTCGTCGTGCGCTGACGTTGACGTCGAGGAACTCGCACGCTATGCGACCGACCCGAAGCCCGCAGTTTGTGACCTCATTCGAGAGTACCACAACGTTTTTCCATCGTCGTTCTCGTACACCGGCATTCCACCGATGCGCAATGTCGAGCACTCCATCTAGCTTCTGCCTGACTAGCACGTTCACCACCAGGCACCCTTTAGACTCTCGATCCTCGAGGCCACCAAACTCAAGCGTCAACTTGAGGAGGTCCTGAGACTGGGTTTCATTAAACCCAGCAATTCCCCGCGGCGTGCACCCGTCCTCTTTGCTCGCAAAGTGGATGAAACTCTCCGTCTCTGCATCGACTATCGTGGTCCCAACCGCTACACGGTTAAGAACAACTATCCCATGCCTCGTTCCGACGAGCTGTTCGACCGCCTAGCAGGCAACCGCTTCTTTACGAAGATTGATCTTCGTAGCGGTTACCATCAGATCCGCGTCGCTGCAGCAGAGCAGCCGAAGAAAGCGTTCCGATCACGCTTCGGCCACCACGAGTTTACGGTGATGCCATTCGACCTCACCAACGCACCCGCTACTTTGCAGAGGGAGATGAACCACATTTTCAGGGACATTCTGGAGCAGTACGCTCTCATCCACCTCGACGATATCTTGATCTACAGTCGTACCCTTGAGGAGCATCTCAGACACCTCTGCGACGTCCTTGACCGCTTGCGCAGACATGACTTTTACACCAAGCTGAGCAAGTGCCACTTTGCCCAGCACAAAGTGGATTTCTTAGGACACTACGTCTCTGACCAGGGTCTCCACATGGATGATGCAAAGATCATTGTTATTGTGGAGTGGCCCGTCCCCACATCCGCCAAGCAACTTCGCAGCTTCCTAGGCCTCACTAGCTGCTAGAGTAATTTCATTCAGGGATACGCTAGGTATTCCTACGTCCTTACCTCCATCCTCCTCCGGAAGAACCCGCCATTGGCTTGGACACCCCTCCACGAGGACGCCTTCCGCGCCCTCAAGAAGGTGGTGACATGTGCACCGGTTTTTCACCTACCTGATTTTGATCGCCCTTTTATCCTTACCACCGATGCGTCAAACTTTATTGTAGGAGCAGTGCTTTCTCATATTTCCCCCCCCTCTCCTGATTCCTCTCATCCTCATATCCCTCGCTTCCCAACCCCTATCCCTACCACTTCTTCCCGCCTTACGCCTACTCATCCAGCTACTGACGAGCCTTTTATTGACTATTCTCCTACCATCGTCGATGACGGCACTGTCGAGTCTCGCTCAGGTGATTGTATGATAGCCTTTTACACCCGTAAGTTCCTGCCCGCCGAAATAAACGACACCGCTGATGAACGTGAGGTTCTCGCAGTAGTTTATGTCGCTCCACACTGGCGTCACTACCTGCACAGGGCACCATTCACAGTGCGCATGGACAACTCTGTTGTCCAGGCTTTTCTTACAAAGTTGAAGCTCACTCCTCGACAGGCTTGCTCGTGACGCGACCTATCCGAGTTTAGTTTCACCACTGAGCACATCAAGGGTGAGACTAATCGGGTCGTAGATGCCTTATCCCAGCGCCCTGACCATGATCAGGAGCAGATCCAGCTCGCTACCATCTCGGTCACCACCGTCCACCACTCGGTGATCGACGAGTTTCACACTCAGTACTGCCACTGCCCCGACTATCGCGACATCCATGCGACTCTTCCGAGTGGCAAGACCGTCCTGAACCACTCTCTCAGGGACAACGGTCTTGTGCACTGGCACGGTTCAGAGGGCACCAGAGAGCCTCGTATTTGCGTTCCCTCTATTGTACAACTACGTGTCCGGACAGTAGCAGAGTTCTATGACCAGGCAGCCGCTGGTCATATGGGCTTCAACAAGACGTTGGCTCGTGTGAGCCGCTTGTACGTCTGGCCGAAGCGCAAGGACTTTAAGAAGGACTACGTCGCAGAGTGTCCCACCTGTCAGGAGGTGAAAAGTGTAAACCACCTGCCTTATGGTTTGCTCCAGCCTCTTCCTATCCCTTAGGGTTGTTGGCAGTCCATCTAGATGGACTTTATCGGTCCTCTTCGTTCTCCGATCCCCCGCGGTCATGATACTATCCTGGTCATCGTCGACCGCTTCACAAAGCACGCACACTTTGTTCCGTGTCGCTATGCCATCGGTGCACGTGAGGTCGCCGACATTGTGTTTGACCGAGTCGTGCGTAACTAGGACTTACCTCTCAGCATCATATCTGACCGTGACCCGTTGTCGAGACCGGTGGGTCTCAAGATAAGTCTTGACCCTTGAGAAGCGGTATATGGTGGAACTGTGCACGGCAGAAAAAAACGGAGGCAAGAGGGGTAAAAAGGCTAAAGGCATAAGTGACGGCACATAGGGACCTAGAGGTTGCCCTGGGTCGCCGGAACCACTGGACCAAAAAAAGACTAGCGGAACAGCAAGCGGCGAAGGGCCGCAAGAAAATAGCGCAGGCGGCCTTTCCCCCCGAAAGGAGAAGGACCGCCGGGAAAAGTAATGCCCTGGGATGCGTACCGCAAGAAGAAGAGAATGTAGGAGGATGAGAAAATAATAAGTGAGGCACCGACTCGTGAGAGTGTAGCCCGGGCCAAGAGGGTCACCGGGATGCGGCATCGGCAGGGCCAAAGGGCCATGAGCCAAGTAAGGGGCCACGACCCGAAAGATCGGCGCGTGCGGAATATGAGAAAGGCGAAGGGAATGAGGTCGCCTTGGGGTGGTAAAATGTCAAGAGAACCCGGGACACCACAGAGGAGAGTGTCGGGGACCACATGAGACTAAGTAAAAATAATGGTGTCTGTGACAAAGTTTCAGGGATCACCGGCGGGTCAAAGTGTCGGGGACCACCGGCGGGACAAAGTGTCGGGGACCACCGGCGGGACAAAGTGCGGGGACCACCGACGGCACAAAGTGTCAGGGACCACCGGCGGGACAAAGTGTCGGGGACCACCGATGGAAAAAAGTGTCGGGGACCACTGGTGGGATAAGTGGCGGGGACATGAGAAGGTCTTTAGAGAAACTGCGGAGGGGCACGAGGGGAAAACAATTAAAGCAAGCTGCACCGTCAAGATTAAAGATCTTGACGACCAATAATATTAGCACCACTAGTGCAAGCAGTAGTGGGAGTAAACGGGAAGACAAAAGGGAAAAGAAAAGCAAAGAAACATGAAGATAGAGGCATGGGAGCAATCCGAAAAACCTCAGATTGGCCTCCCCCAAGAAAATGGAGCCAAAGAGGCTCCATGTGAAAAATAGGTCTCCGGGAGAAAATTGGAGTAGAAGGGGCTACTGTGTGAGAGAAATAGAGATAAAACGAAGCTCCCATGGGCATGAGGAAGCCATTATTGCAGTCCGAGATATAACGGACTGCACCATGGGCATAGGGAGGGCCAAAACTAAGAGGAAGAGCCTAGAAAAGGGCCTTAACGATCACTTGACACTTGGCATGCTAGAAAAAGAAAAGAAAAGAAAAAACAAAAATGTGGGAGAATAAGATAAAAAAAGTGAGAGGGAGTGAGTGAGTTGGCCGTCAGTAGGGACTGCCATAAATAGGGACTGGCAGGTCCCCACTGTCCAAGAAAGGAGGAAAAAAAAAAAAAAAAAAAACAGAAAAGAAAAGAAAAGAGAAAAAGGTCTTAACGGTAAAAAACGGTCACTTAGGGAGATGCATCCGTAACCAGATTCATTATGGCATGTGTCGGTTACAAAGTATCTTGATTTTCTCTTGATTTTGTAGAGAAAAAAAAAAAAATCAAAGCCTCTTGCAACCGAGATACAACGGATTACAAGAGGAGAAGAAAACACATGGTTTAGGTGCATCCACAGCCAACATTGAGCCCGGATGCACCTGAAAATTGACCATTTCATTTTCTTTTTGTTTTGAGCAAGTTGGGAGGCAATGGGACTAGGAAAATGACCCCTACTGCAATACGCGTTGCAACGGACTGCATGGGGAAGGGAAAACACATGTTTTAGGTGCATCCGGGGTCAATATTGAGCCCAGATGCACTTGGAAATTAAGCACTTCATTTTCTTACGGATTGAAGCAAGTTGTGAGGCTGTGGGACTAGGAAAGATGGCATAGTTGCAGTCCGATAAATAACGGACTGCATGGGGATGCCTAGGCCAAGAGAATATGATACGCGGCATGCCCAATAGGCTAGAAAACAGTGTTTGTGGGCATAGGGGAAGTGAGACGATAAATGGTGACCATGAGATGAGGATCTCGCGGCCGGAAATAATCGGCACACTTGAGACACATAGGGAGAGAAAATTGGGACTTATAGGGACAACAAGGTGCCAAATAAGAATGGTACGTCAACCGGGGTAATGACGGGAACTAAATGAGCCCAAATAAAAATTGTTGAAAACTGAGACTTTGTCGGCGGCACCACCGACGGGACAAATAAATGGGACTAACATGGGAAAGTGGCGGGGGCTTGAAGTGCCCCAAGAAAAACCATGAGGCAATATGGAGAGCAGCCGCACAAAGCAAACGGCACCGTCAAGATAAAAAATCTTGACGGTGAAAAATATTTGCAACCACTAGTGCAAGCACTAGTAAAGGCAAAATGAAGAACTAGGAGTGAAAAGAGAGAAAAATGAGTGATGGAAGGGTTGCCCAGCAGTCCGTGATATCTCGAACTAGCTAGGCATGAGAAAATAAAGCCCCAAGGGGCTCAACACAAAAAAAAGGCTGTCAAAAGAAAATCGGAGCAAAGGGGGCTCGAAATTGAGACTAATAGAGGCAAAATGGAACCCCCATGAGCATGGGGGCTTCATTATTGTAATTCGAGATACAACGGTCAATCGTGGAATCTGAATCTGACTATAGATTCAGATCTATGGCCTAGAAAAAGACTCAACAGCCACTTGACACTGTGCGCATCATAAATAAAAGAAAACAAAAGAAAAATGAGAGAAAATGGAAGGAAAATGAGACAGAGGAGAAAAGAGTGGAGGAGAATGTGTCGGTCAGTTGGGACTTGCACGGTAGGGATTGACAAATCCCTGCTGTGACCTCAGCCCTCCAAATTGTGTAAAGGGTAATCCGGATTGCAGAGATATAGCCCTTGGAGCATTATCTCTGCAATATCTGAATTGAAAAGACAAAAATGAGAGAAAAAGTAAGAAGAAAATGACCGGTTTTCTTTCGGGTCATGGGTCCATGGAGGAGGTAATTTGACCGTTTTTTTATGAGGTCAACTCAAACGGACAACTCCGAAATGAGTTGGCCGCCCAAAATGGAAAGAAACAAAGGAAAGAAGAGTCCAAAATAGTACATTTGACCCAAATATAGGGTCATATGCACCAAAAATTGAAAAAGAGGCCTTTGGGGCCCAAAACTGAAGCAAGGACCACCATGGGGTAAATATTGGTGGTCTTTGATCTGAGCCAGATCTGATATGAGTCAGATCTGATATGAGCTAGATCTGATATGAGCCAGATCTGATATGAGCCAGATCCAAGGCTGAAAAAACACCGCTGTATGGGAAAATATCTCGGCCTACCCCAAATGGGTCAAAATCAGAAAAAAATCGAGACAAAGGCCTACAAGGCCTTTTTCTTTCAAGTAAGGCTGCCCCTTGGGCCTTTGGACTCAAGGGGGCAACATTTCAAAAATGAATAGAGGCTTGAAGAGGCCCAAGGTGCAGTCTAAGTTGGTATCCACCACTCGGACTGCATGTACCAGGACAAAATAAGGCCCAAGTGCCCTCAGAAAGGCCTAGTGCTGAAAATTGGTCATGGGGGTACCTCGGTTCACCTTGGGGCACATGGGGAGGCCCATGGGCTGGCTGGTGTGCTGGTTTCAACCTACATAAGCTGAGGATTCAGTCCGACACACTCACATTTGCATGAGGGGTGCCCATACTGCTAGGATGAGCCCAAGAGAGCACCATACTCACGTGGAGTGAGGAGAGACAGAGGTGGCAACTAGGTAACCGTTGCCCGTACCCGACCGTACCCAACTGTACCCGACAAGTTATGAGCAGGTATGGGCACCCTTCCGGAGGGCGGCATCGGTATGGGCTGGCATAAATTTTATTTGTGTATTTCAGGGCAGGCACGGTTGCACTGCCTGGAGCTCACGGGCAGACATCGGCGGGTACTGGCGGTGAAAAGGGAAAAAACTCAGGTATGGGTGGCCAAGAAAAAATAAAAAAGCATGGGTACAACCGTTATAGGGTGGTGAAAAAAAAAATCAGATGGGTATGGGCGGGTAAGCAATTCTGTCGGGTAACCGTACGTAATATCCTCCTCCCCCCCTCTCTTCCCAGGAAATATGCAGACTGGCGGAACTGTTTTTTTCTTAGGCACAAACTTTTTTCCTGGCCCGAACGACGAGAAAAAGATTTCAGGAAATAGCCTTCCAACTTCAAAATTGACCACTTTCGAAATTGGAAGACTTCAGCCTTGGCTCTAGGAGTTCCCTCTTGGAAATTGGCCACCCGTCATGGTTGTACCCGCCGTCCTTCTGTGTACATGCCACTGCATGGCCATCATCCGCCCGTCGTGGTTGTACCCACTGCCATTCTGTGTGTGCTGTATGGGGGGGGGAGAGAGAGAGAGAGAGAAAGAGAGAGAGAGAGAGAGAGAGAGAGAGAGAGAGAGAGAGAGAGAGAGGGAGGGAGACTAACAGAGGGAGAGAGAATAGGTAAGGGCATCGTTAGACACTCCTCGAGCCGTCATCGGAGTTCGAGGACGAATCCTCGTAATTTTTTATGTTTTTTTGAGGTGTCGTTCCACCTGTCCTCGGAGAATCGCCCGAGGACGAATCCTCAGGGTCCTCCCGCGGCCAATTTCATGATATTATACACGGCCACGAGGGTGTTGTCCGACCTTCGATTCGGGATGTCCGTGTTGGAGGCGTGGTGGTCCAGCAGGCGGACGGCGGTACTACGTCACAGGGCGCGAAGAAGAAAATCGCCAACGTGGGAACGGCCCCGTTCGAATCTCGAAATTCGAATTTGCGCCCTGCGGAGCGACGGTGTGGCGGCGCACACGCGGGTCGGCGAGGAGGGGGGGCAGTGCACATCGCGAAGGGTTTCGACTGCCATGGCATTGCGCATTTGAGTGGCACCGCACCGCCACCGTCTCCAGGGTGTTCGACGCCACGCCGCGCTTCGTATGCTGCCGGCAGTTGCGCTCGTGACGCAGAGGGGCGCGACGGTTCTGTACTTCAGCGATGGTGGGCGGACGCTCCAATCCGGGTGGAACATCGTTAAGCACGACTGCATTGCTCACCTGATTGCAGGCGCCTTCAATTGCGGTGGGAGAGGTGTGCGCAGGTGGGTGGCGAGGAAGGTTGTTTTTCCTGTCCGAAGAGCGGAATGGAGGGCTGCGATCGCCATGGTCGTGCTGTGTTGTCAAGTGCGGAGAAGACAGCTGTCGCGGCGGCTGTTGTCGCAGTTGTCCATCGATTCCAACTAGAGAGGGCGGCTGGGCGCATGAAAGTGACGCTCTCCAGGCGGTGACAGAGGCTTCTTTTGCAGAGGGTGTTGGACGCCCCGGACTGCGTTACCAGTTCTGAGGCAGTGCTTCAGCTATGTTTTGCAATAGGGTGCAGTGTGCTTCCTCGGTCGACGCCACGTTGGTGGATGAGGCGGAGAACCGGCGGGACTTGGGAGGATTTGCGGCTCTGCGATGACGCGACGGACGACTACTTTCGGGGAAAGCTCCGCATGTCGAGGAGAGTTTTCATGGAGATCAGCGAAGCCTGTGCACCTCTCTTGCAACGACAGGTGACGTTCTATAGGGAGCCACTTCCGTCGGAGCAGATCATCACCTATGCGCTGTACAGGTGGGCTACAGGAGAGTCATACGACAACAGCACCTCATCTTTCGGCATAGGAAGGGCTTCCGGAATCCCGACCGTGCGAGATATGACAAACGCTTTGTTGAGGGTCTATGGGGATAGGATATCATGGCCGACGGGGGTGCGGAAACACGTCATCTTGCGGGCGTTTTTCGACAAGGGCTTTCCAAACTGCCATGGCCCAGTTGACTGCACACACATCTACGTGGACAAATTGACGAATGAGCCCGGCGAGAACTACTTCGACTGCAAGCACCGTTTCTCCGTCATTGCGCAGGTGGTGGTGGACCTGGATCTGCGCGTGCTAGACGTGTTCGTTGGATATCTGAGGAGCTGCCACTACATCAGGGTGATCCAACTGTCGAGTTTGTCGAGGCGCGCAGAAGAGGGAGTGCTTTTTCGTGGCCCGCCTGTGACGCTGCCGGGGGGGGGTGAGGACGAACGGATACATCTTGGGTGACAACGGGTATCCTCCTTCTGAATAGGTAGTGGTGCCGTACGGAGGAATCAATCAGCACCCGGACGAGGAAAGGTTCGACACGAAGCAGAAGGTCGCAAGAGGGGCTGTGGAGAGGGCGTTCGGGAGGTTGAAGGGGATGTGGAGGCTCTTTCTGCGGACACACAAGACAAACCTGGAATCACTACCGCAGCAGTTTACGGCAGTCTGCATTCTTCACAATATCCTCCTTGATGCCGGTGTGGAGTTCGATGAGAATTTGTTGTGGGCGGTCGACGAGAACGGGGTGAGGCGGCGAGTGGACCTGGGGATTCATCGCCCCCTGCAGCCAGTGTCGATGCTGACGTCGACCCGTCCCCCGCTCACGCTCCGCAACGCACTGGCGGAGCGAATGAAACACATGTGATCCTGTGCACTGCCAGCGTCTTTCACGGGAAAATACTTCCTTCGAGTCGTGTTCTGCCGTCTTCGATTAGTTAGGAGGTTTCACCGTCTTTCGCTTATGCGAGCGACGAAGCGGATGGTTTTCCGTCGCGGATGGCATCTTTTTCGGTGTTCGTTGTTATGGTCGACGGTGGTGTGCTTGTCCAATTCGTCTACGGTTCCTAGTGACATGGCTCTGCGGTCGTTCGACGTAATGTCGACAGTGGTTCGGTTGCGCACTTGAGTGGCGCCGGTGTGCTCCCACAGCTGTCCGTGAATCCCGGGNGGGATGAGTGGGGGGGGGGGGGTGGGGGGGGGGGGTTGTCAGCTCCTCGGCGAGCTTATGAGTATGTGGTTTACAGTGCTGCTTTGTTTGAAATTGAACGATGTCGTCGAATCCTGTAATTTTTGTGATTGTTGTGTGATGACGTCTTCGTGCATTCCGCTTCTTCCTTTCGTTCGGCGACCGACTTCTTTCTCAACTACATTCAAAATGTCTGTCATTCACAGAATGTCTGCACTTTTATGCAATTGCTCAGGGTCATCGGTGATGCATGAATGCGACAGTGAAGATTCATGTACATTGAGAAACAAGCATTTCAATTTTGTTTTTTTAGCAAATGCGTGGTGGCAGTGCGTGGCTAGGTTCGTTTCTCTCGTCCTGTTTTTTGTCGTTCCCGTTTTCACAGGTGCCGACGATGATAACGACGCATAGATTTCATACATCCAACGAAGGGCCGCTTACAGAAGCAAAAAATGTCAAGGATACGACAATCGCTATTAATGCATTCCATACATGAGACATCCATACGGAAGAGAATAAAACCAACTTTGAGCGACGAATCACGGACATGCGAGTACACACACACACACAAAATAAGACTTAAATGACATACATTCCCTCCAAGTACAATATTGACGCGGAATTCGAAAAAAGGAGTCCAACTGTCCGCCCTCAAAGCGCACCACACCAACAACGGACTCCACCTGCCTTCTATTTCATTGCTGATGTGTCGTGGACTGGCCGAATAGACAAGGCTTTAGAGCAGATCTACGAACTCTACTCCAATGAAAAACTAATCACAATGGAAAAAAGAAAAACTAGCAGGTGGATTGCTGACACAATAGAGCTCCACCTGCCTTGTACTGTCACAATACGGTAAAACAACACGTGCACGAAGATGACGACTGTCGACGTCGCGACACCACCGAACCGCGCGCTCCAACCACGACCATTGACGACAACACGTGTAGCGCGATGGAG